GTTTCTGCTCCTTTTACTTCCCCCTGCCTGGCCCCCAATACTTGATCGGTTAGCCAATGACGAGTAAGATTCCCCAAGGGGGGAAAGACCTAAGACAGGCATGATCATGTGGAGGCCCCAGGGAAGGACTTGGGGGGCTACAACAAAAGGGGGTGATGGGCCCTCGCCACTCAGCTTTGACATAGCCTGAGTTCTCATTCTGTCTGCAAGAAGTCTCCTAATCTCTCGGCTGTCTTACTTCCCCTGCCTGACTTAAGTCTGAAAAAATGCCAGTGGTGGGTGCCACCCTCTGCTGGAAAGGACAGGTTCCCTAGAGCAATCAGACCTAAGAAAGAATATGTAAAATCTTGTGAAACCTGCTTTGTTTAGAATGCTCTCAATTAAATGATAAGGGTCCAAGTGAGAAGTGAGTTTGTTCCTCAAAGTTTTATGGCTCTTTAGCTATCTGACCCTGACTCAAAATAGGTCCTCAGAGTTCTTTGTATGTTTGATTCTTACTGCCTGATAATGATTAATGAGCTTTACCTGTATTCCTGTGCAAAACAAACCCAATAAAAGCCTGTCAAGGCAAGGGTCAGGGCTCTCTTCCCTTGAGAGAGTAGCCGAGCCATCCCTTTTCCTCCACAAGAATCGGTAGTCTGTGTGAATTTGTCTCATGTCTCATCCATAACGCCACAGACCCTGAGGGCTGTGTCTGCATCAGGGTTACACTGGGATTGGCACGTTTTTCTGTAAAAAGCCAGATATTAATATTTTAGGCTTTGCAGGGCATACATTTATGTTGCAACTCCTAGTTTCTGATTTGGTAGCATGAAGAGCAGCCATAGAAAATATTTAACATGATGAGGGAGGTTGGGTTTCCAGGCCAGAGTTTGCCAGACCCTGCACCGGACATCTCTTAGCTCAGGTCAGCATTTGCAGCTCAGGCTTCAAATTAACTGAGCCCAACAGACTTACTTGTGGGTCTCCTGTTCTGAGAGCTTCCCCCTGCTTCTCCACTTCCTTCTCTGACAACCTGTCTAGGCTCAGAGTCCTGCCAAGAATGGGATGTTGCCCTTCTCCTGGTGGGCTCTCTGCCCCACTGGAGGCAGGGGTGCTGTTAATCACTGATATTACCACATATATTCCTAATCCCATCATCAAATAGAATTAGTATTTTACCAACACACTCTGTTCACCCCAGAGCCAGCTCCACCATGAATACTGCTCCACCTTGCTCTGACCATTCAGGGTGGCCGGGACCACCAGCTGCTGTGCCTTGGCCCCTCCATGTGGGAGGAAGTCCTGCACTATACTCCACAGCATCAGCTCCAGTTGCCAAACCAGACACCCCTCAGTAGTGTGGTGCTTCTATCTCCCACCCTGCGTCTGCTCCAACAGATCACCAGAAATTTGTCAGCCAAGTCTTAAAATGTGTCAGTTATCTGGATTGAGATTCAGGTAAAAGAATGAAGATAGAGATTTTGATTACAGAGCAAGAGAGAAAGAAAAGGTTGTTAAACCAGGCAAAAGCTCACTTATTAGAATTATTGCACGAGGTCAGAACTGGGCCAAGAGTCAAGCTAACACACCCCCGAGAAGCTGCTCCATGCTAACTCCAGCGAGGAGAAGTCTAAGAAGCAGAGTGCGGAGAAATCTAAACAGGCATTACAACCAGAAGGGAAATCCCTAGGGCCTCACATATCCTTAGCTGGGTTTATTGTGCCCTCTTGTGCTTACTTATGAGAAATGAAGGTTTCTGTCAAAAATGAGAATGTTTTCAGAAATCTTTTGTATTCCCATTCATAAAAATCATTTAAATTGCATTGTCTATCCCCCAGATAAATTGTGAAAAGAGGAAGAAATTTTTAACACCACATCTGAATCCAATATTCTCAAATCTACATATCATCCAATTTTTTCTTCAAAATGTCCATCTGAAGGAGGCCCTACAGGTGTTGACCCTGTGGGATACAGTGGAGGCCAAGGGCTTTTCCTGCAGTCAGAAAGCCAACATGTGACCCCACCATGACTAGACAGGAATGGGGGCTCCTGGCTGCCCTGGGATTCATACTGGTAATTTCTTATTTGTTACTTCTCAGGACTTTTTCCAGTGGAGCACCAGCCCCCACAGCTCCCACCCCTCCAGGGCACAGGCCGTCACCAGAGCTGGCAGGTCACTCATTTCATGGGGGTGGATGGGGTGTAAAGTAGGAAGCCAACGTTGGAAAAAGGGCTGAGCCAAAACTGCTGCCAGGTAGACTCCTGCCTCCTGGCCCACCTACTTTTCCCGCCTGTGCTGGGTAGCTAGGTTGCAGGTGGTCAGGGCAGGAGGGGCTAGACTTTGTGCTCTGTGCAGCTGAAGAACAGGGTGGGGAATCAGGAGCAGAAATGCCACCATTGAAAACTGAGTAGTCCACACCCAACCCATAGGACCTAACCCACGGAACCTCGTCCCCGGGCCCTCTCCCCAGGCTGCCTGTGGTACAGCCGCTCTTTGCTTCTCTGCCAAAACTACATGTGCATATCTGTACTTCTGCATCTCTTCTCACACAGATTATGCTGGCTGGATATGTCCCCTCAAAGCCAGGTTCAAAAGTTATCTCTTCCCTCTGACTTCCCCTGATCGTCACTTACTCTCCTGTAACCTCTGTTTCACCACACATACATACTCTTCTCCTCTGTGGGTTCATAACTATCTGAGTAGCTGTTTACAAGACATGCATTTTCTGTAGTTATTTGTCTTTCTGGTAGTCTGTGAGCATCTTGAGGGCAGAGACCACTCACTCATTTCATTTGGTGTTGACAGAAATCCCCTGGGATACATTGTAGAAGAAAGCCTGTGTTTTGGACTAGACAGACCTAGATGCAGGTTTTGACCCAACCACCTGAGGTGGTCATTGAAACTTCCTATGGTCAATTTTCATGTCTGTAAAATATGACAAGAGCACCTTCATGGAGATTGTTAGGAAAATTAAGTGCAACAAAATCCACAGCCTTTCCACACAGAAAGCAAGTTTCAGTACCATCCAGTTTAATCTCTGTTGTAACAATAAGAAAATAAAACTAGAGAGAGGGTGTTTTGCCCAAGGTTACATAGAACTTCTAGCACTTGATTCTGGGGCCAGAGCTATTAAGCCAACTCAAGTCCTGTTCTTCTTGTGCTATTCTTTTCTCAAAAGCAAATAAAATCGGTGCCAACATACTCTGCATGTGGTTACATCCTGAGTCTGTTTGTGCTGCTGTAACAAAATAGCACAGACTGAGTAGTTCATAATAACAAAGATTATTTTCTCATAGTTATAGGAGCCAGAACTTCAAGATCAAGGTGCCAGCATGCCACTTTCTGGTGAAGGAGACCTCTTCCTGGTCCATAGGTGGTGCTTTCTTGCTATGTCTTCACAGGGTGGAAATGGCTAAGGATCTCTCTCAAGCCTCTTTTTGTAAGGCACTGATACCACCCATGAGTTTTGCCCTCATGCAATGAGCACCTCTAAGGCCCCACCTGCAAGTACCATCATGTTGAGCGTTCAGATTTCAATATGTGAATTTGGGGGTGGGGAACACAAGCATTCAGACCATAGCACACTTGATGCTGTATTTCAGCTTGTCGTCATTTCTTCTTCAAATAAAGTCGAGTTCAAATAAAATAGACTGTCTGTTCCCCTTTTTCTGTCCTCTCTTCACTAGGCCCTAACCCAGGCCCAGGCCCGTGGTAGGCTCTGAAACAAACATGAAAAACTGTGAGTGATCCCCAGCCTCCTCAGCTGCCCTCAGCTCGAGCATCCATGTCATCATCCTGTCCCATACCAATCCTAAATGCACATGCTACCCTAATCCTGCTTTCTCTTCATCCCATTGGCACTGAATTTATGCCCATCCTTTCTGGTCCCCTGAGAGTGACATTGTGGCAGCATAGACACCTAAGGGTAGACCTCAGGACATAGCAGAACCAGGCAGGTACTGTCCTAAGTGGCCAAGTGTTAAGAGCCACTTTTGAAGGCCAGCTCTGAGAGATAGCAATGTAGCTGAAAGAGAAAAGCAAAGTCGTGAGGGTGAGAGGCCAAGCTGATGCAAAATGGAGAAGGAAAGTAAATGGAAGGCAGTGGGAGACAGAGGCATTTGTTGTTGTTGTTGTTGTTGTTGTTGTTGTTGTTGGTGGTGGTGGTGGTGGTGGTGGTGGTGGTGGTGGTGGTGGTGGTGGTGATGGTGGTGTAGCTGTCTTACTGACCCTCTCAGGCCAGGGACCTAAACCAAGATCCTCTGCTCAGTGATATTGATGCCAATAGAATGAGACTGAGTTCAGTAAAGCAAAGCAGAAGCTTAATCCTTTGATGAAGGAATGGAGAAGGGTGAACTCATGCTTTAATGGTGTCTCCTCCCCAACAGGGAAGGAGCTTTCTGTATTTATGGGCAGTGGTGTTGAGAAGTCATGTTCTTTCAGGCACGTAGGTTATTCTTCTGTTGCACTCAGCCCTGTTGCACATGATGCCCTGACACCATCTGTCTTCATGCTCAGCACCTCGGTCTTCTCAGTCAGAGTCCTTTTCAGTCACTGTCAGCAAGCTCAGCTCCTGACACAGTTTAGGTACTGAGAAATCTTTGAGTCCTTTTTTATTGTTGTATTTATTGATTTCCAGAGACAGAGAGAGAAAAAACATTGATTTGTTGCTCCACTTACCCATGCACACATTGGTTGACTCTTGTATGTGCCCTGACCAGGGATGGAACCCGCAACTGTGGCACACTGGGATGACAATCCAACCAACTGAGCTACCTGGCCAGTGCATGTCAGGGTCTTTCGGATGATAGCTCCGTGACAGCTGCAATACACCCGCAGGCTGGTATAATGGTAGCACAGAAATATCTCTACCCTAAACATTGGAGCAGACCCTAAGCATGACCCTGCCCCTGGGAAAGCTGTCCCCACTGCTCAAAAACAAAAAAGAAAACTTGATTTCCCTTGGTCATTAGAAAAGATATTATCCCAGATTTAAATCATCTGACTATTTCTGTTTCAGGGCTCTGAGGATACACCTTGCTGGCAGTGAAGCCAGATCATCTCTTTCTAACCAGTCTTCAGTGTCTGGCTTATGAGCCAGAAATTTTCGCAAAGAAGACTGGCTCTTAGCCATCTCTCTGGGCACTGAGCACACCCCATACAAGCAGCTAGGTTGTTCCCTAAGCCCAGGCCTGACCCTGGAGCAGGGATTCCATCTGTGTTCAGGTTCAGGGCACAGGTCTCCACAGGCTTAAGACAAAACCACTGCATCCTGCAGTTTCCAGTACTCTCCACTGTTCTGGTCTACAAAGTAAGAACCTGAGGCATCCTCCACAGGGAGGTACCACCTCCCTACTGCAGAAGCTCATGCACAGCTCTCAGAAGTGGAAGTGGCAGAGCTGCAGCACCACACCCAGCAACCCAGACTGTGAGGTGTCCTCACTGCCATGGCTCCTGCTTTGCTCTTGTCAGTCTCTGAAGGCCCAGCATCCTCTGCCCCTGAGATGGCCAAGCCTGTGACCTACTAAAAAGCAAGGTCCAGCAGATCTTCCATTCAGCTTCTTGTGTCTTCTATTGTATTTTCCAGTGATGTGTAATGAGTACTTATTGCTTATGCAATCAAGGAGCAAGCAATCAGTCATCACAAAAACCAAGGTTGTTTTTAAAGACTACACACTCTTGGAAACAATTTCTGATTTTCTCAGAAAACACACCCAGAATATTTTGTAGGGGACAGCCCCGTGGATTGGCAGCCCCTAGCATCCACTGAGGAGGGCAGAGGGAGTCATCAGACAGCCAAGAACTGGAGCTGGAGGCCAGTTCTCACTCCAACATTGTGTCCAGTTGGAGACATTGTGACTAAAACAGCAGAAATACTAATCATTCAGTCCTGCTATGTGAAGCATGACCTTTGAAGAAAGCCAAAGAGATGAAGGCATTTTTTGCTATAGCAACAACAAGAAGCATGTATTGAAGTTTACGATGAACCAGGCAGTCTACCAAAATATCATGCTATTGAAGATAATGTTCAGTCTGTGCAATAGGTAAAATTCTCCTTAGATACTAAAAGACAGAACCAGTATGCAAACATCAGCCTGACAGATTGCAGAGTCTGTGCTTTTAAACAGTATGACATATTGCCTCTCATTTATGCAACAAAGGGCTAAACCAGTTTGAAACTCCAATACATTCATGCACACACACACATACACACACAGATTTACCTGTTCACTAGATCACTAGATGAATCTATGACCCATGATAGATACATAGATACATAGACAAGTATGTAGGGAACCGCTTCGAGAGACGTGGAAATGTAGCTCAGCACCCACATGGAAAACCAGTGGGGTATGAGTTAGCACGCAGGACCACGCCTGTGAAGAAGTTCTCCTGTGGGAAATCGGCCTGCTTTATACTTAGGCTGCTTTGTGACATGCTGTTTCTAAAACTCCCTCACCCTGAGTTCAGGCAGTGAACACTTGCTGTATATCTTTAAAGTAACTTCCTGAAGTCTGTGCTAATTCTCCCAAGGACTGAAGTGTAACCAGACCTGTTACTCTTATGGTTCCCTTGCATTTGCAATATTTTTTCCTTGTTAATCTGTAAGAAGTAATCTGTGACATCCTTTCTGTTGCTATCTGTAAAAAGTAATTACCTAAAGCAAACCTATGTATAATGAATGAAAACTTTCTTTGATGTATGCTATTAGAAAGCCAATAAAAGCTTGTCAAGGCAAGGGTAGGGGTGCTCTCCCCTCGAGAGAGTAGCTGTTCAGTCCCTTTTCCTCCACTGGACTCGATAGTCCATGTGAATTTATCTCTTCTCATCCATAATGCCAAGGACACTGGGGGCTGGTGTCCATGTCACAAGTATAATTAGGATGGCCAAAAAGTTCATTTGGTTTTTTTCCATAAGATGGTTCTAGTAGTGTATAGTTTTTGTTAAGTTCATTCAAAATAATTTTGTTAAATTGCATTGTGACAGCTGTCATGTCAGTGTAGATTTAAAAAAAAACATCAAAATTGGTGAAATTTTAAAAAATATTGTATTTATTTATTTTTAGAGGGAGGAAGGGAGGGAGAAAGAGAGGGAGAGAAACATCAATGTGTTGTTGCCTCTCTTGCACCCCCAACCAGGGACCTTGCCTGCAATCCAGGCATGTGCCCTGACTGGGAATTGAACCAACAACCCTTTGGTTCTCAGGCTAGCACTCAATCCCCTGAGCCACACCAGCCAGGAAAAAAGTAGTGAATTTTTGTGTAGCCATTTCAATATTGAAGATGGAAGAAAATAAATGACATTCTCTGCATATTATGCTTTATTATTGCAATAAAGGTAAAAATGCAACTGAAATGCAAAAAAAAGAGATTGTGCAGTGTGTAGAGAAGGTGCTATGATGGATTGAATGTGTCAAAAGTGGTTTGCATAGTTTCACGCTGGAGATTTCTCGCTGGACTATGCCCCACAGTCAGGTAGGCCTGTTGAAGTTGATAGCAATCAAGTTGAGGCATTAATTTAAAACAATGAATGTTATACCACATGGGAGGTAGTCAACATACTCAAAATATCCAAGTCAATAAAGTTATTGGTGAAAATGAAAAGTGTATCTTTTATTTTATGGAAAATAAAAGGTCTTTTTGGCCAACCCAATATAATGTATGCTTTAGTCCTCACCAAATCCTCTCCAACTATTAAAATCACCATTTTACTCGGGGTTTAGCTTTAGAAATTCACAATGAAATGTAAATTTCACAGAGGTGGCCCCCCTTTAGAAGAGTTTGTTTTCTATTTGGTGTCTGATGAAGCCTCATGGGCAGGGCTGCAGAGGCAATGGCCAACTGTCCACCAGCGCTGAAGCTGCACCTTTTCTGGACATCATCATTCGAAGGGACAGGGGCAGGCAAAGGTTCAAGATCCTAAAATAATTCACTAAACTGAAATCACCAAACTCCTCCCGGTTGACACAATATCTCCCACCCTGAGCTTTGAACTCCTTTATCATCAAAGTTTTTCTGTAGTATAAAAGGAGCCTCTTCCTAAAGTCAAGTTTCACGGGAAAATATATCAGTGAAGAACTCCCTTGTTTTCATTTTGAAATCCCATTATTCACTGGACTGAGGCAATTTCTTTCCAGTCCTCGAATTTAAAAAAATCAATTGTCTATTTGATTGCAAGTAACTACCTCTTTGCAAGAACAACCAAGTCATGAGTCAAATGAGCTTTGCCTTTTTCTCTTCCATTCTCACTTTGTCTTCATTAAAAGAAAGACGCCATGAAAATGTATAATTTTCCCACTTTGCTCCTCACACTTAATTGATTTCCAACATGAAAAAAAGGGTATTAGCCAGAAAAGGGAAACCTTAAGCTTCGTGAGTATCCCTTTAATAACCATTTAATCTTAAATTGTGTTCACAAATGCTAATTATCAACATCTTTAATTGTGCGATTCAATTTCTTGGTCTTTGACATAATGTTCTACTACCACATCAGCAGCCAAGGAACTGTCAAGAGTTCAGCATTTTTACTTTCTACTCAAGGAAGCAAAATTGGTCATCAGTTCAGGCCTAGTAAATCAGAATCTGTCCGTGAGAAATGTGTCTCGGGATGCAGTGGCCATTGCCAGGGTTATGAGATACAACCTCTTGCAGGAACAGCTCTGTATTAATTAATAAATCAAGGGAATTAATTAATTCAATTACCATGTGCAGGGAACTTGGTGTAGTTTCTGAGGGTCAGAGATGAGTTGAGATACAGTTCCTGCCTTCAGAGACAATTTACATTAGAGAAACACTTTTCAGCTTACTAAGGCAGCCCCTGCCAAGAGCTGTGATACTGGCTTAAGCAAGCAGCTGTAGAGAGCAAAGAATTCTCCAGAAAAGAGACAGAGGAGAGGTGAATGGGCATCCTAGGCAGAGGAAATAGCAAGACCAGAATCTCAGAGGCGACAACTGTTTGAGGTATTTGAGGGGTGGGCAGAGTCCTGTGGGGTTGTTGGAACGGTTATGCCAGATAGAGTCTCTGCAAAGCCAGTGTTGGGATCAGAGTATAGTGGCCCAGTGAGGTTTTCATAAGGGGTCTGGGCTTCCTCACTTAGGCTAGGAGTCACTGATGTGCCCTGAAGATGAGAAATGATGTTACCTAAAATTTGATGACATCGTGCTCCCATTCACAGGTGCTCTAGTTTGACCTGTGGCTCAGTTGTGTAGGTGATGTTTGTCACTGAAGCCTCAAGACTCTCCTTCCCTGCTTTTTGTGCTATTTCTCTTCAGACCTGGCACTGCTGCTCCATAGGAAGCCAGCTGGAATGCCTTTCAGAACAGACAGGCTCTCAGCAGTTCTTGGCTCATCACCTCCAAAACAATAACAGAAAACAGCCCAGGAGCTCCTCGCTTCTCCCTTTACAAGATGCTTTTATTTCCCTCTTCTGGAAGCAGGCATCCCAATATGCAAACAGCATGGGTAGCAGCTGCCTATGTGTGTGAGTCAGACAGCCTCAGTCCGCCATCCAACTTGGGGAGAGTCAGAGGCAAAGCCAGAACTGCCGATGTCCTGGAGTTGGGACCGACAGTCACCACCACCATGGGGAAAGTGGGCAGAGGCAATGAACTGAGCACAAATGGAAGCCCAAGTGAGCAGAGACAATGGTCCTCAGGAAAGGAAAGGGGTGGACAAGGAGGCTGTGGAGCACAGTAATGAATTCACCAAATGCCGTTCTGCTCTGCAAAGTGTTCCATGACATTCTGTGAACTACAGCTCAGACGTGGAAATAAGATAGCTTTTCTTTGTCTGTGAATCTTTTCTTCTTGGTCTCAACTGCTCATTTCCAATGGTGGCAGAAAAAGGAAAAAGAAAAGCAAAAAAAGGAAAGCTTAAACTTCCTAGTCAAAGCTATTTCATTAATTTGTGGTTTAGAATTTATCTTCTAGGTAAATAGGCAATCAAGTTGAAACTGTAAAAAATGTATTTGCTTTTAGAGAGTATTTCTATTATTGAAGATAATTGTGAGATTTTCACAATTATTGTGAGGATTTTTGTGAGACTTTCTCATATTTGATAATAGAAATATTTTAAGTTATGTTAATCACAGATAACTGGTTAGTAAGTGATATCTGTGTGCTAAACAGAGATAGGAAGAGATGGAAGGAGAAAAAGAAACCTAATAGGCATGAGGTGCCTGGCTACTAAATTGCTGTACAATTGACATGCAGAAGACTTATGAGATAATAAATACACAGAGGCACTAAATATATATGAGCTCTTAATATACATGAGGCTTAATCTAGCTGCCCATTGGAGACTCTCATTCTGGCTCTGTGTCCTCTGCCCAACAAGCACAAGTAAGACAAGCTAACCAAGTGTTCATCTGGCTAATTGACAAGCTGAGCTGTTGATCAGATGTCTTTTCCCTAACTAAGTGTTTTTGATAGAGCAAGTGTGTGCCACTGGCCCAGGGTGACTTCCATCCATGGGCCATTTGCTTAAACTTCAACTCTGGTCCTGTAGCCACATCATTAGTTGGGAGGCTGAAGTGTGGAAACAGGACATATAGAGACCTTGAATCCCAGGATTCAGGTAGTGTGGCCCTTCTGCCCCACCTGCAGCCTCTCTAAAGTGTGCTAACTTACCACATCTTTTCCTTTTGCTTTTTCTCATTGTATGTTCCTATTGATTTAATGAAGAGTATGATTTGAGCATTTCTGTTCCATGGTCTCTGGGATAGCTTGGTAGTAAATGTGAAGTTATCTCAACATCAAGCTAATTTCCCACTCAGTACTAGTCAAATTTTAAACAAAGTGTGTTTTTCCTATTGACTCAAGAAGTCACTTTTTATCCTCCTTTCCATGCAGAAGAGTGTAAGCAAAGCTTGAGCAGTGCCATGGCTACATAGGGAAAGTTACTGGTCTACCTGCTGCCTGTGAATCTGCCCTGCTCACCTTGTCTGAATGTGGAGTAACCTCTCCTTTGGATTAAAGACATGTGGCTGCCCTGTTTGCTTTCTCTAGGTTTAACTTGGCTCCCGCTGCTGTGGCTATGATTTACATTTGCCATATTCTTCTAGTCATCAGGCTGTCATATGCTGGGATATCCTCATCCCAAACCCAGGGCTCCTCCAGTCCACCTGGGCCTCTCACACATGCTGTTCCTTCCACAGACACACAGAGGAGCCTCCCCCTCAAAGTGAGGCCCGTGTATGCCACCACAGGCTGAGGGCATCTGGAGGCCCAGGTGAGGATCATCTAGCCGGGTGCCTCCTTTTTTATAGGACATGGGACTGTTCCTATACCACATGGACCATGGCCAGAGGGAATACCACATTAGGTAAGCTCATATTACTTTCCATCTTCCTTTTTCCACCTGAGATTTTTATCACCTTAGCCCTAAAAACAGCCCAGGCCAAGGCCTAGGGGAGTAGGGTACTGCATTCCTTTTCAGTGCTCAGATATCATAGTAATTTAG